ACAGCTTAGGTTTTTAAAAAAAAAACCTGGGCAGATGATGGTTACACGTGGTTATAACATGTCTTACACAATGGTAAAATTGGACTCTGTGCGATTGGAGAAAGCACTGTGGAAGCTTTCCCATGGCTGACAGGAAATAAGCAGCTACAGAGCTTCTGATTGGCTACTATATCTCTTCGTGCTTATACCCATTGCATTTGCCCCCAATGCCCAGTAAACACTATAACAAAAAGTGTTATCCACACTTCCAAAGCTCAGTTAAATGCTTGATCCCTCATCTGTGCCTTCTGGCTACATTATAATCCTTCACCAACCCTGGGACCCTCACTTTCAGAGGATACCCAGTGCCCCTTACCGACTTAGAGGTCTGACCCTTTAATCCCACTTATGACTCATTTACCCAACTCAGAGTCTGTCCCTCCCACTGCACTAGACCTGCTTTTACCTTTTCTTAACCAAGTCACACATGTGTAAAGTTGGTTATTGCCCCTGGTTCCCATCCACCCTCTTAGCTATCCCCCCTCTGCTGGCCTGACCTTTTTTAAATCAATCACACCAAACTGATCAGTAATGCAACACTGGAGACTGCTTGCATATTACTTTTGTTAAAAATTGTAGATCAATGGACAAGTATACAACCCAAGACTCCTTTCACGGTCATTCCAAATCAGATCTGCCCGTTAGTTTTTCAGGCAGACACGATTGGAAGCCCAATGTTAGTTTAGATCCGGCTGCCCATAGACTAATGTGCATCTGTTTACATCAGGTTCGCCCCAACTCCAGCCAGGTCTGGAAAAACAAACAGATCAGATTTCCGTTTTGACGGTCCTGGCCATATCGGAGTGGAGGTAATACCATGTAAAAATGGACACATGCATTTACATGCGATTCCCCTTACACCAAACATGAGGCCCGGTAATTTCAGTGCTTTCCTACTTCACAAATAACTGGATTGACACAGGTGTCACCCATTCTGATCAGCAAGGGGATCCGTGCATGGAACTTAAGGAGCCAGTGTGAAAGGGGCCCTGAGTTGTATGCCATTTTTTAACAGTCCATTTAATAAATAAAAATGAAAGACGCAGAATTTATAGGCAATTTTATTTACCCATTTTGGAAGTGGAAGAGTTAAAATCCTCCAGGTTTCTCTTCCCATTAGGGTGATTTACTATCTTCCTGTGAGGTAATGTAATTTATTGCTTATAAACCAACTTAAAGAAAGATTACATTCTACCAATATGAAGAGGAGCGTCTACTGTAAACAAAGATCACATAACCTGCTACTGTCACCTGGGAATGTGGCTCTATAATGAGGTTATAATTAGAGACTCTACGTTGCAGGTAGTGTTTTCAAACAACTCCTATGAAAAGGTACTGTATTTATTGGTTACACCAAGACTTCCATTATGAAAACTGTATCCATTACTCAATTAATGAGACTGACTACAAAATTATGTACTTAATGACAAAGTGCAAGGACAGCAGTATAGAGCAAGTGCAAAACAGCAAATAGTAGAACAGCTTTAGACTAACCACATAGGTTAGTCTAAAGTGCAGGGGCAGACCTAGCCAGTGCAGCTGCATTCGTGCCCAAGGCTGGGGTGGCCCCAGCGAGATCTGGTCCCGGGCATCCCCCCCATTGGTGGAATACAGGGCAGTGCATGGACCAACGGGCTTCTGAGCAGGGGGAGGGTAGCTCTGACGGGTTCCTGCTCCGACTCAGAGCCGCATCCCTTGCAACCGGGGGGGGGGGGGGGGGGGGGAGGGGCGGGAGGAGGAGAGGAGAGGGAAGGAAGAGCCATGTGGGCAGTGAGCAGGTGCTGGGAGAACCAGAGTAGAGCTGGAGAGCAGGTGAGAGAAGCAATGCATCCAAGTAAAGAATCTGGGCTATACTGGGAGCCAATCAGAACCAGTACCACTCAGATTCCTGTGTGCACAGAGATCTCTGTGTATATACGGATCAATCAGTGCATATAGAGATCAGTGTGTACTATACTCCTCACTGTGTTTATAAAGATCAGAGTGTGCTATACTCCCCAATGTCCATATAGAGATCCAGGGGCAGACCTATCGCCAATGCGACAGGCTTCTAGGGGGGGGAAGGGGTTGGGGGAGGTACCAGGGCCATTTGTTCCTTAGGTCCACCACTGGGTCTGTGATTTGCCGCTATGGTTTCAGCCAACCAGTACTTACTGCACTGTTACTTAGCGCTATTTTAAGAATTTTTTTTAAGAGGGTTCTTGATTATGACCAGGACAGAATAAATAAAAAAAGGATCAGTTTACTGCAGAGGTCAGTGTCGTCAGGAAAGTCTGGATTCGAAGACTATGCTCACAGGTGATGGGGGAATTTTTCAGTTTCTATAAAAATGAGCATTTCCAAAATTACTTGCATTACCTTTTTGGAGGCTTCAGGATGTAACACTTGTCTGATGTGAAGTTGTCCATCTGTGCACAGGCAGAAAGAAGTACCAACACCAATGTTTATCTCATTGCCTACTGTCTGGTTGAACTGCAAGAGAAGAACAGGGAACAAAGTTGTCAAAGTACAGGTAGAAAAGCAAGCTTAATTAAAACAAACTGCAGAACAAGGGTGCCATGTTATAGAGCAGCATTTCTCAACCAGGGTGCCATGCCAGCCTGAGAAAAAGTGCACAGCTCACCCCTATCATGAGTTCTCACAATGCGCACACTGCACAGATTACTCTCTTCCAGAGTTATAGGCTCTAAAATTGTAGAACCAGCACATGATAATCTTCCAAAGAAATTCAACCTTTATTCCACATGCACCTGTACAAAGAACAACCGCTAGCCTGGGCTGCCTTCTGGCTTTGTCAGAGGTGTCCTGAAATTTTCACACTATCATGCATTTACATGGTGCATGCAACCACCAGCACCATGGAAACGCATGTGACTCCAGGGGGGGGAAACTGATGTAAAAGGGGGGCTTCTGATGGGAAAGGGGGAACTAAATCAGGTTATGGTTTTTTTTTCCATGGGGTCCTCCCTTATACTCCATACCAGACCCCTATCTAGGAAAAGGGTCCGGTATAGATTACTACATTTACGCTTTTACATCATAGGGTCCAGATTTTTCATATTTTTAAAGGTGCCATGACTGAAAAAGATTGAGAAATGTGGTTATAGAACACAAACTAAAGAAATCAAGTTAACATTTTTAAATTAATGCTGCTAGTTCAGTTTAAACTGTAGAAAATATGAAAATTTAGCACCCTTGATTAATCTCCCAACAAATGCAGACAGCATCCCATCAGTACTCTAGTAGGAACTGGACTGGAGTCAGGATAATGCAGATTTATTCAATATGCCAGGACAAGAAGATCATTTATTATACTGATCTACACAATGACAGAATCGGAGGATCATTATATTGCCTCTAGTTCATAAAGACTATGTCAAGCCAAAAACCTTTTCTAGTGTTAAGATAGCATTTGAAAGCAATAAAACCCATGTCTAGTTTTCTACAACCATTCAGGGCACCATTAGGAAGATTTAACCTCACTTCCTGTCCTCCTGGATATGGTTTCACCCGACAGAATTTATGGAAAATCTGCAACACGGACAGACAAATGAAATTCTGCAGCGGTTCAAGCTGTATGGACCCAGTCTTAAACTGGGGAGTCCTTAAACTGTCACCAGCCTGAGCTTTGTACAGCTGACCTAAAGGAAATTGTACAATATGCAAGAAGGCACATGAATATTTTCCATTCATATACAGTACATAAGAATGTGCCAACATCGAAAATACAGTAGAATACCATAATGTCTAGTACATTACACAATGCAGTTGGATTGCAGCCAATACAACATTCAAAATATACAAAACCAAAATTAACCATTGTACATATGCGAGATACTAGCAATGGAAGGTACACACACATACATATATAGGAGACTGTTGTGTATCTTCAACGACAGAGCCAATACAAGCAGATGTGAGCCACGGAGAAGAAAGATAGTAATAGGAGATAAGTAAGGTAGGAGAACAGAAGACAAAATGGATAAGGGATGGTCATAGTAGGTGGGTAGGAGGGGTGGGAAAAAAAAGTTAAGGGTGGAAAAGGGGACAAATCAGCCCACCCCAGTGCCACCCATGTCTGGGTTATCTTCCATCATGCTGGGTAAGAGGCCACAAACTTCTTTCATGGCGGTCAGGGTTAATCTAAGCAAGATATACAGGGGTCATTGACAAAAGGGTGAAGAGTTTGGAGAAGGCAGTGGAAGTGAAGAGTCCAGGACTACACAGCTGAACTGGAGAAATTTTCCAATTCAGCTCACAAACATGGTTGACCTGATTAATGGAGGGAACGTGGGTCGACCTCCAGTGCCCCGGTATTGGTTTGGTTCTTAAAAACAAACAGTCTTGCCACTAAAATGGCAAGGGACCATTGCTTGAATTCTGTGGCATCTATGGGCAGGGGAAAAAAAAGTATTTTCTTTCGGGGTGGAGAATGTGGAGTAATGATTTTTCCCTTTCTGCAACCCAAGGATTTTTTTTTTAGATATAAAGACTACTAGAAAGGGCATGGCCAGATTGCTCAAATGTGCATGTTAATTTACTATAGAATTGTGAAGGCAAATTCAGCCAGACTTCTCCAGCTTACAGGAAGGTAACAATATGGCTTTGCCAGTGATAATAAAAAGAAAAAAAAAATACACACCTGAAAAATTAATTAGATCAACAGATGCACCAGTGATGGTCACCTGATCTGGCAATCATTTCAAGTTGCACCCTATATTTTTTTTTATTGGATGCCGTGTCCTCCAGGCGTTTCCTAGCTGTGCACAGCCTGCGCTCAGGTGTCACCAGTGAGAGGAACCAGCGCTGCTACAAGATAGGACACGCATGACGAGGCAAGCTTGCACATGCACGGTAGCAACAAGCTTGTCTAGCACAAGAGTCTGGTTAAAATTTCTAAGAGGTCTGGGGAAAGCCTTGAGAGTAACTTTAAACACTTGGATTAACACATAAGCCAATCAAGAACTCCCAGGAGAACTTCACTTGCATAATATAGCCAGGTGATTTGTCATCACATATTACCATTTATATTTAATACACGGTCAACACATTACCTAACAGTTAGTTGCTACAAAAGCTATCCAACCACAACGGTGTTCCCTTGCCAGCCAGATAACCGTATCAATAAATACTACACAAGGAAATAGACAAAATAAGAAGCCGGACAATCTTGTAACTTAAATATGAGCAGAAAGCAAAGTACTAACTTAGTAGCAACCAATCAGAAACCATTTTTTATAAATACATTGGCCCTCTAGCTGGGGTGAAACTACAAGTCCCATGAGGCATTGCAAAACTGGCACCCATAGGCAGGACACCCACAGGCAGAAGCATGATGGGATTTGTAGTGTTGCCACAGCTGGAGAGCCAAGTCTACCTATGGACTAGGATATATTTCCACTGTTCTTTGCACAGTACAAATTAAAAAAAAATCCTAATCATAAATTACCTACGTACAAGAATATGTAAACCCACATCACTAAAACCTCACAATACTTGAACTTATTTTTTTATTAACCCTTGCCATGGAGCCACCATAACTCTGCAAAGGTTAACCCCTTGTTTGTCTAGGGAGCTAAAATTAAAAAGGATTATTTATCTGATCCTCATAGCTGACTGGCTCTTAGACTGGTCCTTTCAGCCTCGCTCCCCCTCCATGTCAGTGGTATAAGAATCTTCGAGTCATCATGTACAATACACAGTATATAGGAGGGAGGAAGAGAGGACACTGAGGGAGATTCCATTGCTGCAGCATAACAGGAGAGAGGCTGGAGGGAGCGCTGTCACAGCCGGGCAGTGCAAATTGTTATATTTGCACCTAGACCAAAACAAGTAACCCTTGCAGTGTGGGGGGTAGCCTCAATGCAAAGTCAATTCCAGATATTACAAATATTTTTTCCATTTCAAGCTTTCTGGAAGAAAAAACAAAAAACCCCACTTGCCACAAAGAACCTTGCTCAAGCACTTCCTGTCTAAGGTGCCCATACACTTTGCGATTATCGTACGATAATCGCGGGAAATGCCACGATCGTACGATAATCGCAAGGTGTATGGAAGGCATGCAACCGTTTTTACTGTACGGTTGCACGTCTTTTGTCGAACCAGCATGCTAAAAAACCCGCCGAGAATCGTACAATTCTCGGCGGGTTTCTAGCCTGCTCGTTTGACAACTGCGGAACGGGCTGGTGCACACAGGCACACTGCCCGTTCAGCATTGCGGTCATCGGAAGCCCGCCCCTCAGCGGGGCGGGCTTTCGATGATCGCAAGTACGATCTGCCTGTCCAAGATGGGCAGATCATACGAGCTTTTAATAAGCTTGCGACCATCGCAAGACAAAAGTCTTACGATGGTGGTAAGGTGTATGGGCACCTTAAGGGCGATATTCTGTCCCCGTCTCCCAACTGAACTCCCACGTTGTCAGCCTTTCACATGGATGTGTCAGCATACATGGCAGAGGCATCATCCACTGCTGTCCCCTTTAGGACACCCATGTTGATGCCATACAGGCATCGCTGGAGTGCATGTTGACAAAGTAGCTGCAGGAGAGCCGCACCACCGATATGTAAATTATTTTGTTTAGAAATTGTTTCCTCCCAAAACATTTTCTATTTAGCCCCTCAGGGGATTTGTGCCCTGTGTCCCCCATCAGGGAGATCTCCCTTCCACTTCCTTTCCTGCAGACACAACATGTAGAGAGGAAACCTCCCCAAAGTAAGGAATTCCCCCTCAGACAGCAGTCACTAGAAAAGGTGCGTCCCCAGTGGAAGATTTCCCCTCCATTCCTGTTGTGGTGATGCCCTTACACTCCTGGATCCCCCGGAACATGACCACTAAATAGAGGGCAATTCTTCCCAGCGGGGACACAAAGCTTTAAAAACCCGACAGGAATCCTAACCCTTCACTACTCCATCCAAAAGTAAACTAAACATTTTTAAGAAGAATCTGTCACTCCTCCAGCAAGATCAATGCTGTGACAGAGCAACGCCACCAGATAAACTGATCTCCAGACACCTTCATCAATTCCTTTTTTAAATACAAGCAGTGTAATCCAACTCTGTATCTGCCTTCTGTAGTCTACTGTACAATCTGTATAACTGAGGGAGAAGTTTCAAAAGGAGCCAGAGTTGTGCTACGATATAAGCAGCATGCTGACAGGAGGGCACAGCAGAGTGACAGTTGAGCTCATCAGTATGCCGCTTCTCCTTTCACTGTCCAGTAACAGGGAGGGGCGTGAATGTGAACCTGTAGCAGAGAAAAATCAGGTCTCCTGCCAGACAAGACCACGCTGTGTGACAGAGCCGTGTAAATCTCAAGGACTGGATAAACATAGTAATCCATTGGCAGCTAAAAACAGAGCTGATCTAGGGATTTCTTCTATTTATCTGCAGTTCAAACGGCTGACCATTCAATTCAATGTCACCGTGCCCAATTTACATTGGATACTACAGGAGAATGGTGTAGAGTCAGAGCA